AAAAAAAATCCTCATGCATTTCCTTCATTATTTCTTCAATGCTCAGATGTTCTTTGAAGATTCCCTGAAGAGCTAGAAAACCCAGCTTTTCCATTGGAACACAAGTTCTCTCGGTCTTTTGTCACACAGCTCTTTATTTACAGATGGTGCCTGTCCCCAGAAGCTCTTTCTTGAGCAGCTTCTCAATCTTTAAGATTGAAAGCTTCCTGAAATGGGATCGGTTTGCAATACACAGCATTCCCACTTTTCCCAAGTCCCCCGGCTCTGCCACATTTTCCTGTCTGTGCTTCCTACTGGAAAAACAAAGTGAGTGAGTTTTGAGGCTAACTCAAGACAAGCTGCTGCAGGAAGAGTGCAGATAGACCTTTAGTATTTCTACTGTACTTCTCACTTTCACATCACCTACTTGAGAATCTCACCTTGAGCTCCGACTTCTTTTCCAAGGCTTTGGCAATGACCTTTGCTGCCTCCACACCTACTGTGTTGCCTTCCAGGCGCAATGCTTCCAGGCCATCAAATTCCTCAATCTGTTTGATCACTTCTTCAGCTGCAGAGAGCAGACAGTATTCTTGGCCTTTTAGCCAGCATCTTATCTTAGGTACCACAGGTAAGCTTTGATGCACTTGCTCAACTCAACCCTCAGCCAAAACTGTTGAGCAACATTACCTGAAAGTCCTGAAACAGAGCTGAAGCATCAGATCACTAGAGAGAATGTGTTCTCTGTTGTCCATTCTCCCTTTTCATAATTTATTTCTAGTTCTATTATCAGATGACCATCTCTGTATTTACAAAAGCAGCAGACTAATATATCATCTCAATCCTATACTACACAGGTTTTCAAAGTATGCAGCTGCTTGAAGCACTATGATATTGCTTAATGTTTTTAAAATGAGAACTGACATTTAATACAGCGGTTGTCAAAAGCACTTGATGAAAATGTCAAGAAAACAAGAACTGGACAGTCAAACCCCCAGTGCCATAGCAAGTAGTACTGCCAGAGTACCAGGTTGAAACAGCTTGGGAGAAGAGAAGAAAATATCTCTGCCAGAGATAGCTGTAACTAAACATCTGCAAACCAACCTTTGCACCACAACTAATATGACAATTTGGCCACATGTGCTGGAGGTATACTGCGAGACTTTAGAATTACAAGACAAAGACATTTTCTCTTACCATCTTCTGCTGTATTGAGTTTAAGGCTCTGGCCTTTAAAGCTCAACTGTCCTCCACCCACTTTAGTTTTGGCAAGGGACTCTGCAAGCTTGGTGATGTCTTCCGATGCCATCTTCTCCACTTTCCCAAGTTTTGCAAGCTGGGGATTAAAAGAAGTCATTGACACTAGAAAAGCAAACTATAATTTATATTA